GAAATTAGATGCCACACAAGTTAACACTTGAACCTCATCAACAATAATCCCACTGCCTAAGCAAAAATTTAGGAAATTCCATCAGAAAATGCTTCTGAGCAAAGCAATGGAGTTTTAACCATATTCCAGCACTCAAGAGTCCACGAGTATTCTGTGATGCTATTGAAGAACTAAATGAAAATAAAATTAGAAGCGCATTATAAAAAAAAAAAATACCTTTTCTATAGCGATAAAAAACTATACAAAAAATGGCAGAATTAGATAGGCGTGATTAAAGTACATGCCAAAATCTAATCAACAAGTCTATTTCATTGGACATATAATAGAGTACATGATTATTAAAAAATCTGTCAAGCACCACTGGAGAAAAGAATTGCAAATGAACCTGATATAGGTTTAAAAGGTCACGTGGAATACATACTGTTGGTCCCGCCAACAATGAGGTTCCAGAGTCTGCAATTGCTGAACAACCACGACAATAAAATCCTGAAAAACAGAATATTAGCTCTGAAGACCTTGACAAGAAAAATTGATGAAACAATTGTATAATCGTCAAAAGACGGAAACAGGACAAAAGTAGAAATTCCACAAATCACCTGTTTTCTCGTTGCCAACTAGTATGTCACCCATATCAAACTGAGAATGAAGGAAAATAATTCAGACACAGGCAAAGAAAGGAAAGATTGCTCAAATGAAAAAAACAAAAGTCAGCAGACAGCACCTGCCAATAGCCCTTCCGAGTCATGGGAACATATGTGTGTTCACCCCTGAAATGATTAGAATCAATACCACCGAAAACAAGTTCACCCCCATTTTTGTCATTAGCTTGCGGTTAAACCAAAATAAAAAAAACTTGGTCTTTAACGAGACCTTGATTTACCATATCGTACCTATAAAAATGCAAAATACCAAGTGTGAAATAACTTGAATGCAACGCACACGTAAATGTTAGAAAATCAAAGAGAATACTATTACTGGGTTAAAAACCTGTTTGGGCACTCAACTAGTGGTTATACACTATTTTTAATCACTCTTATTTTTTGTTGAAATCAGCACTAAACTTTCAATTTATTATCCTGCTGGTCACTCCACTAAATTCCTTCGATACCAACTAACGGAATGAACACATGGTGTGACTTACAAGGCAATAAAATGAAAGCTTAAACCATCCAAACATGCTCACTGTCGTTCCTCCAATTTGTATAAAAGTCACTCCTCGGGAACATTCCATTAGTTGTATATTAACGGATTTGAGTGGAGTGACTAATGG